AACCCTAAACCCCAAAACCCTAGGCTCCAGTGATGCAGCCGCCAGACCTCGAGTGGAACTGTTGCCTCGGATGCCGCCTCTGCCGCGTTGGATGCTGACTCTGGGTTTGGTTTCGGGTTTAGGGTTTAGGGGTTTAGGGGTTTAGGGTTTAGGGTTTAGTGGTTTGGGGTTCCGTTAAAACCCTAATATACAAGACTTTGGGTTTGGTTTTAGGGGTCTGGGGTTCCCTTAAAGCCCGAATAAACAAATCCATTATTCAAAAAGTTGCCAATAAGGCTGCGATTAATTGAGGGATTGGAGATCCCTAAACCAAAGGGTTAGTGTTGGGGCTTTCCTAAACCCAAAACCTCAGCCCTAACTAACTTTACACCCTGGCTGACCTGGGGTTTCGCGGCCAGGTTCGGTGCTTCTGGCGTTTCGGGGCTTCTCGGGAGCGTGGTTCTTGCGTGCTATGTACGTTGCCACTGCAGCTGGATCGCGGTGAGTGCCTAGAGATACACCAGGGGCCTATGAAGTACATCCCAGCTACTGTAAGATTGCAAGAGGTGTTGGTGTGGGGCTTTGTCAAAGCTGCTTGTGCCGGGAGTGGGGGAGGGGTCGGACTCTGGGTAGGGTGCGGACCCTGACGCCCAAACGAAACGGGTGGACCATTTGTGCCGCGCGAGGGACTGTAGCGACCTACAGTGAACTCTTTGTCTACCGCTGTACAGCCTGCTAAACCCACCAACCTCTATGAGCACAGCAGAAAAAAAGGGAACCGCGGCGATTACGCTGGGATATCTACTGTGCATCCTGCGAGAGAAGTGACATCCGCGAGCATTGTCGCAGAAGCGTCAGCAGCAAGATCAGGTTGATGGCAGCAAACATGCTCGCTCCAGCAAGTGGGTCCATAACTCGCAGCAGCAGGGACTGCCTGCAAGTCTCAGCACTTCGACTCTTCGACTAAAGGGCGAGTCTGTTGAATAACGCAGGTCATAATTTCAACATGAAACATCCCTGAAATGCCCATCACTGCAACCGCGGGGCATGGTAAGAATGGCCCCCGCAACCGGAAAGCCAGCAACGAACACTGCAAAGGTCACCTTACTTCCCCAATAAGCCAGAAAAATAAAAGGTTAAACTTTCAGATTACTGCTAACTTATAAGAACTCAAAAAGTTTAAAGGTTGGGTATTGGGGAACTAAGTCACGAGCTCGTTTGCCCAAAGTTGCTGCCGTTGCCGTCGAGCCTTGCAGGCCAGGATAATCCCGAGACGTCCGATGAAAGGGAAGGCCAGGAATGAGAAAGTCAAGGTGACGATGGCCGTTACAGCCGCGTCCCTCATGTCCCCTGCACGTAATCGAGCAGCCACCTGGTCCATATACCCCCAATAAAATGGAGCCGACACCATCAAGAGCCACCGGTAGGAGAAAGACGAATCACCGAGGGCTCTCGCCAAGGCGGCGGACACGTCGGTAGCGACCAACTTCTCGAAAGCAGACTCGGTGCCGAACCACTTGCGAATGCAAAGGTTGATAATTTCACGGTCACAATAAGGATTGGAGTCATCTTCTGGGTGACCCACCGTGCAGCATTGGCACTTGGCGTCTCGGATGCGAAAGTTCCGGAGCTGAACAAGCATGCCTTAGTTGCGGAGTATACAAAACCACTAAACTTCCAGCTTCTGAAAGGGGATTATATTGGCCAAATTGGATTAGGGTTTAGGGGTAAAGGGCGGCCAAAATGATTTGAAACAGCTTACTAGTACCCTCAACCCTAAAACCTAAACCCCTAAACCCCTAAACCCTCAACCCTAAACCCTAAACCTATAACTCCGCTGCTCGGCTGCTCTCCACGGCTGCGAAGTAACTCCGCAAGGAGCGGGCGGCAAAGTGCCCAAGAGAAAGGAAGAGGACAGAGAAGATGACCCAGCCAAGCAGAAGGTTGTCAAAGGGGATGACCATAAAGCTGAGGTTCGCCACAAACAATGAAGAGAATGTAGCTATCGAGCTCGTTCCAAGCATCGTCGGTCTAATGATCAGCGTCTTGGCACTTCTGGAATCCTGGGCCAGGCTGCTCGGCAACCCACTACGAACAAGTACATACTTAGATACGTTGTAGTAGAAACCCAGAAACCAAAAGGAAAACATGCAAAAGCTTAGTTTTATATACTGTATAAGTAAAGAAACTGCCAACCGTGTATGCTTGATTATAGTAGAAATCCGGAAACAAAACACGTAAACACGCTTTTGGCTAGATACAGTACAGTAGAAGCACAGAAAACAAAAAAAAACACAAAAATGTATAAACAACTGAACATCCCCTGAGGCCTTAACCCTAAACCCGAAGCCCCTACACATCCTAGAATCGGAGACTTTGCAGCTTCCGAGGAATGCTCCGACCTCAAACACGCACCAGAGCCTCTGAGACGTTTCGGGATTCGGATTTACCGTTTAGGGTTTGGGGTTTAGGGTTTAGGGTTTGGGGTGGGTTCAGGGCTTAGGGTTTAGGGTTCAGGAATGCCCAGAAGGTTTGAACCCATCGAATCTTTGATGTGTAAATGCCAGGCCGTCAAACCTCTGACTCCTGTGCATGAAAACATTGAGTCACAATTGAATCAGTTATGCCAGTTATGCGGTTGAAACTGATGAAACAAAGGCTTGAGGCATTGAACTGCTTAAGCCAGAGTGCTTACGTATCTGGACGCGAGGAGGGGCCTGAAACCCCGGTGGCTAGGAGCCTCTAGAGACATAGTATTCAGCTGAGCAATGGCTCTAGTTAGCTTCCCGTTTTGGGACTGCATCGCAAGGCTAAGACATGGTAGCGGTTTAGGAACTCATCGCAGGATATCGAATGACAACCTGTAACCACCTTCCGAGTCTCCATTGTAGTTCCTTTTTGGGGGTTACCTTTCAGGATCCTTAATATAGAATTGGTTAAACCAAAAAAAGGAACTACAATAGGCAAACCCTAAACCCCTAAACCCTGTTCCCCTCATACCCTAAACATCCCTAAACCCTGAAACGCCCAAAACCAAAAACATGGAACTACAATGGAGACTCCAGGTAAATTTTATAGACCCGTCTGGAGCGGACCCCGCCTCTCCACGAAGGTCTCATCCCACCAAACGTGTAAGGATTCAGAGCTCTGCAGGAGAGCCCCCATGCTGAGAAGAGCTTCTGCCTTTAAACCCGGATCCGACTGGTGGATGCACATGACATCGACGAAGACCGGGGTGCGACACTGCCAGCAGATAAGGGTCACAATTGTAACGAGAGTTCCTCCCACCATTCCCCAGATGCCGAACCTGAGTTGCTGAGCTCATAAACAAAATAAGTGTACGCTTTTAGCTCTATAAGGGATCATAATATCCCAACAAAATTAAATCTAGTTCCATAAGGGGTCATATCATCCCAAAAAGTTTAAAGCGTAGTAATTCAGCCACTAAGGAACACGTAGGAGTCCCTCCCCGTCTGCTGGAAAGGTGCCCTTTCATAACCGGGAAGATAGCCACCCACGAAAAGACAAACAAGAAGTAGTGATGCCAACGTTCCGGCAGAGATGGCTGCAAGGCCATTCTTCTGCACTATCACTGTGGAAATCTTCCGCGGAACGCTTCCGTGCCAAGAGTGAGACCAAAACTCTTGAATCTTGTCTGTTGGAAAGCTTCTCTGATAATCTGTGGCTTTATGATACCGAAAAGCCCTGCCGAAGCCCCTTAGGGCTTCGTAGCAGGGGACAGCTCGGATGATGTCCTGTCGGGTGGCCTGAAAGTCCGCAATGTAGTCTGCAGCTAGCTGGTACCGGTCCGAGAGCGGGATGCTCACCTCTACTTGGCTCTGATCTGATGCCTCCACTTTCTCCTCTTCATCTATGTCGGAGGGCTCCAGACCTGAACCGATTATCCGGACGAGTTCGCCTTGGACTGGAGCATCCAGCAGTTCGAACTCCATGGAAGCAGATATGCTTCGGAGGGAAAACGACACATCTGCCAGACTGGGGCACTTGCGCCAAGCCAGATAGTAGATAGCAAGCAGTAGAAGGTGGATAAATGATAGATGGTATAGCTCTATCGAAGACTCTGAGTAGTGGTGGAGTAGTCGCAGTAGCAGCGGTGATAGAACGTAGCAGCAATAACAGTAGCAGTAGCAGCAGCAGCAGCAGCAGCAGCAGCAGGAGCAGGAGCAGGAGCAGGAGCAGGAGCAGGAGCATGGGCAGGAGCAGGAGCAAGAGCAAGAGGAGCAGGAGCAGGAGCAAGAGCAGAAGCAGCAACAGCAGCAGCAGCAGCAGCAGCGGCAGCAGGAGCAGGAGCAAGAGCAAGAGCAGGAGCAGCAACAGCAGCAGCAGCAGCAGCAGCAGCGGCAGCGGCAAGGACAGTGGTAGCAGGAGCAGGAGCAGTAGCAGCTACAGCAGTAGTAGTAGTCGTCGTCGTCGTCGTCGTAGTCGTAGTCGTCGTCATCGTCGTCGTGGTCGTGGTGGCGGTGGTCGTCGTCGTAGTAGTAGTAGTAGTAGTAGTAGTAATAGTAGTAGTAGTAGTAGTAGTAGTAGCAGGAGTAGTAGTAGTAGTAGTAGCAGCAGTAGTAGTAGGAGTAGTAGCAGCAGTAGTAGTAGTAGGAGTAGCAGCAGCAGCAGCAGCAGCAGCAGCAGCAGCAGCAGCTAGTAGTTCCTGCTGCCACTACGCCACTACTACTACTACTACGACGACGACGACGACGACTGGTACTGGTACTGGTACTATAGTACGTACTAGTACTGGCAGTATAATAGCTAGTCAGAACTCAACATGCTCCAAACGACAACAAGGCGTCCTCCAGGAGCACGTCGTGGTCAGACAAGGGGCGGCCCTCCGAGAAGTACTTGCCTGAGGCTGGGCTCTAGTACCGAAATCACTTACCCCGAGACAGAGACTTCTGCGACCAATCCTTCAAAAACCAAACGGTGCACGCAAGGCGTGAAAATCAAACCGGCAAAGACCCAGACAAATGAGCGCACCATGCACACCGCACAATTGCTGCTGCCCGACATGCACCATGAATACCGTTGCACCTGCACATACAGGATGTGAGACATCGCCCATACACCCCTGGTTGCACCTCTTCATGGTACCCGCTCAGGGAGAAACCACAGCGAACACTTTTACTAATTTGTCAAGCTAAAGCCTACACATAAACCAACCCCAAACCCTAAACCCCAAAACACTAAACTCCCAAACCCTAAACCCCCAAACCCTAAAAAACCTAAACCCCAAAACTCAAAACCCCAAAAGCCCAAGCCCTAACCCCTAAACCCAAAACCGCAAAACCCCAAACCCTAAACCCCAAAACCCCAAACCCTAAACCTCAAACCCTAAACCCCAACAAAACCCCAAAACCCTAACCCCCAAAAGAACGCCAAACGGAACCGCCCATCTGGATGAAAATGGGTTGGTAGTTTTCTAAATCAGGGTCTATTAAGTGACGGCAGCCCTGTTTAAAAAGAACCCTGAGTATCCTAGCCCACAAGGTTAACCTTTTGATTATAGTAGGCTTTTATAAACCCCAGAACGTTAAAGGTTACCTACTCAGTCACTACGGATTTAGAGAACTACGCAAATAGAACCCTTATAGTACCCTTATAGAAATTCGAAACCTCTAAAAGGGACGCTAATCTAGAGAACTACTTAGTTGGAAGCGAGATCTGAGGTTCACGATTCCGCCCCCCTTTTTTGAGTCAGAGGAAGGTTCAGGGTTTAGGGGTGTCCGGGTCTCTTCGGCTTGGAGCTTTAGGGTTTTAGGGTTGTAGGTGTTGGGTTTAGTTTAGGGTTTGGGGGTTTGGGGTTCAGGGTTTGGTGTAGGGTTTTAGGGGTTAACATAAGTGTTTAAGGGACTTCGAGTGCATAGGTTTGGGGGTTGGACTTAGGGCTTTAGGTTCATTTAGGATTTTAGGGTTTAGGGTTTAAGGCTTAGGGTTTAGGGTTTATGGTTCAGGGTTGAGAAATTTGGGAGTTGGAAGCCCTTTGCACATGGTCCGTAGGTCTGCATGTACAACATCAGTGTGAGCGCAGGTAAAAGCCATAGACAGATGGATAGGTAGGTAGATAGATAGGTAGGTAGATAGATAGATAGATAGATAAATAGATAGATAGATAAATAGATAGAAAGACAGATAGACAGATAGACATATAAACAGATAGATAGGTATATAGATAGACAGATAGATGGGATAGAGAGATAGATAGACAGACACTCGAAAAATACTGTCGCGGTGGCAGCTAGGTTGGCCAAGACTCATTCCACCCAAAGGGACGGCACCGACCAACGCAGAACTTCACGGCCCAAGAAGCTCATCTTGATTTGATACCGAGTAGTGCGTGGCGTGGGTGGAAAAGTGGAGGAGCGTGACGGGGCAAGTGAAGTGGAGCCGCATGGGGAAGGACAGTGGAGGACGGAGGCGAGCCAGATGCAAATAGCAAAAAAGAAGACACTGGTCAAACAAACATGTCCTTTTCAAAAGACATTCCAGCAGTATTCTCAAAAGCCTTCTTCAGCTTTGCGCCTAATCAAATCTGCGGCCACAAAAGAGTTTCGGAAGGTTATAGATATCACTGCGGCAGTCACCGTGCGGTGGCACTTGTCTACGCATTGCGCAACTGCCCTTTCCCTTTATCCCCCGAACCACCGACCTTAAGCCGCAAGCCATACTAAATCCCCCAGACCCTGATGCTTTAGCCCTAAAAATCCCTTGCCAGGAATCCTGTTCTTGTGATAGAACACTGAAGGAACCCGAATCTAAACATGAAGGAAGCCATGCTGCGGGAGAGAATCTCAAAGAACTGCTCCCTGATCTCCGGGCTACACTCTCGTTGCACCTCGCCATGTGGGAGTTTCCGAGAATTAGGGTACCTTATTTTGGGGGTCATTAGAATTAATAAGGAGACTACTATTTAGGGTACTATATTAGGGTCCCCTATTATCGGAAACCCCCATGTCAGATTCAGAACACTGAGTACGCTTGCTGGATTCAGGGCTTCGGTGAATATAGGTGTCTTCACGACTTTAACCTGACGTAAGTTGGACCCCATTCCCCGTCATTCTGAGATGTTCCGATTCTCTTCAGAGGTTTTTCGGGCTCAAACGACAAAGGAATCGAAAATTCTTCTGCTCAAACAGAGATCTCGGCTTTAGTCTTGGAACTCAACGTCTGAACAGGTGTAGCTCCAGCTGCTCGAAAGAAATCTCGTACCTGGATTAAGCACCCTAAACCCTAAACCGGCACCTATAGGAAGGATCCCAGGAACGGCTTAGATGTCCCTAAACCCTTAGACCTAAAACCCTCACGTGTATGCAGCATTTGCGTCCCAAGGCCACTGCGACTTTCCTTCCCCGCCCTGGCACGAGCTCGATAAAGACCCAAGCCAGGCTTATCGAGTTTATGGTTTTAGGGTTCATTGTTTATGGTATTTACCAGGACCCTCCAAGTCCAAGTACCCTCAAATAGGGGTATATGGTCCCAAATTAAGGGTATTTAGGGTCTCATAGAGGGTAGATGCAGGGTCTAGGTAGGGTTAAGGTTCCCTAAACCCTAAACCCTAAACCCCTAAACCCCTAAACCCCTAAACCCTAAACCCCTAAACCCCTAAACCCCTAAACCTTGAGGTTCTGAATCTCAGGTCTCAGCTGAACTCGAAGTTGAGGCCTCAGGACTTCGGGCTGCCAACCAGAGACTCCGCCCCCCGAGCCACCAACGGCCCCAGAACAATAACCGCGACCCCTCAAACCCCAGATGGCGTTTCAGGGTTTAGGGTTTACGTAGGGTTTAGGGGTTTAGGGTTCAGGGTTTAGGGTTTAGGGGTTAGGGGTTTAGGGTTTAGGGTTTAGGGTTCAGGGTTTAGGGTTTAGGGCGAACCTTCATCAGGAGCCGGAGGGCGTCCATGGAGTTGCCTCAGCTGCAGTAACAGTAGCCATCGTCGTCATCATCACCATCACACCCCCTAAACCCTAAACGGGATGGCGGAAACGAAGTGGCTCGGGGTTTGGGGTTTAGGGTTTGGGGTTTTGCGGTCTGGAGGTTTGGGTTTCAGTACATGGACTATACTGGAGCCTAAACTACCCTAAACCCTAAACCCTAATTAAAACCCTAAACCACACCCCTAAACTGCTAAACCCTAAAGCCTAAGCGCTGACGCCGAACGTCGGGTTAAACCTCATGCACATGTCAGGACGACCGTGTCCCGGTGCTCCGAAGGCAACACAGGCCCCCACAGCCCCAAAACCTGAACCCCACATCCGAAACCCCAAAAACCTAAACCCCATGGTCTTCAGGGCCTGAAAAGGCACTCCTTGAAATCGGAGCGGTTGATGGCATACAGCAGCCTCTGTGCTGGCGTCTGGGGTTCGGGTATACTCTGCTTGGAGGTTCATGGGTAGTTATAAGTGGGTGTATAAGCCCCCTAATATGGGCTATAACTACAGTTGCCCGACTGAAAACCCCTAAACCCTAAACCCTAAGCCCTAAGCCCTAAACCCTAAACACTTATAACTACCCACAAACCTCCAAGTACCAGACCCTGTGCCTGGGAGTCACGGAATGGAGTTTTCAGGGTTTAGAGCTTAGTGGTATTAGGGTTTAGGGTTTAGGGATTAGGTTTTAGGGCGTAGCGTTTGGGGCGTAGGGTTTAGGGTTTAGGGTTTAGGGTTTAGCCTTCGCCATATTCCCTAAAGTTCGATTCAGGGTTCAGGGTTTAGCGTTCAGCGTACCTGAAGATCACTAGCCCCCCAAAGCCCCAAATCCCTAAACCCGTATACTAGTAAACCTTACAGTTCCGAAGGTTTGCGGATTATTGGGCGTTTGGGATTCGAATCGGGTTCAGGTTTTAGGGACCGGGGTGAACGTTTACGGTTCATGGTGTAGGGATCAGAAAGTTCTATAGTAGTAAGCAGAAAGTTGGAACGTAATTATGCTCATACCCTTAAGG